AAACTCAGTTAAAAAGAAAACAATTCAAGAAATGAATGAAACCAAAAATTAGCTGACAAAATCAACAAAATTAATGGAACTTTTCTATATTGACCAAATATAAAGGACAGAAGATAATAGGTCATCAAGATCAGTATTATGTCAAAAACGAACTTTACAACTTTGGTATGGGGGGGGTAGGGGGAAGAGGTAGGGGGAAGTGGGGTGGGGGGGAGGAAGAGAGGAGGATTGGGTGGGGGGTGGGGGGAGGATGAGAAGGGATGGGAAGGAGAAACAAAGGAGGAGGCTACAATGCTTATTAAGAAATGTGTTCATTATCTTGCCCATGTAATTGTAACCCCTCTGTACAGTATTTTCACAATAAAAAAAAGGAAAGAAAAAAGTGGCCTTACTGTTAATCCCATAGACATAAAATGGGTTGTAAGATAATTATATGAAAAGATATATCCTGAGCATTTCAGCAACTTAGATGAAACGATACATCCTAGAAATGTACAACTTAACCAATTTGAGTCAGAAAGAAATAGAAAGTTTGAATGGGCTTCTGACAATAAACATAGGAAATTTTATATTTAAAAAAAAGAGAAGAAAAGATACTTTAGATACAGATGTCTTCACTAATGATTTCTATCCAATATTTAAACAAGAAAAAGTACTAACACAAACACATACACACACAACCCCTGGAGATCAGTATCCCTCATGAAAACAGACAAATATTCAATATTCAACAAAATATCCAGAAGTCAAATTCAGCAAAATGAAAACATATTATATACAGATAGGATTCATCTGTTCAGTGTTGATGTAAAAAAATTCCAGCAATCAAATTAACAGTATAAAAGTTAGAAAAACACATCTTAGCTTCACAAAATCATTTGAGAAAATTTAGTGCTTAGATTTGCTGTGATAGCTTTTAACAAATAAGAAAGAGAAGAGAACTTCTATAGTCCAATAAAAGATATGCATTAAAAGCCTTATAACTACCTTCATATAGTGAGGAAAGTTTGGTTGATTTACTCCTAAGATTGTAAAAGAGGCCTGTTCTCTTTAACTCTCTAATTCTATGTTATGTTTCTCATGGTTGCTGGGATGGTAGTTGTACACTGCCATGTCCAACTTCTCCCACTGAGGTAGAGTTTTACAAACTTTTTTTTGCCTGAGCTGGCCTGGAACCATGATCTTCATTGACCTCCGTCTCCCTGATAGCTGGAATGACAGGCATGTGCCACCAGTGGCCATGAGAACACTCACATTCTTTTAGTAATGCATACAAAAGTATTTATGGATACACTGTACTGTTTGGAATTATCTTTGAAAGGATAAGGCAGAAGAAAATGTGGAAAGGATATGAAGATATAAAAATAAGTTGACTCTGGATTATGTGTTCATGAAAGTTCATCTTAGCAATATACACTATATTCATGCATATCTGTGAAACTTCCCACAATAAAAAGTTTTAAATAATGAAAATAAATAATTTAAATGCCAAAACATATTACAATTACCCTAATATGTTGACTGTAGGCAGGGCTTTACCTTTCAAAAAACCGGTGGCTCAGTGGTAGAGTGCTTGCCTTGCTTGCATGCATGAGGCCCTAGGTTTGAGTCCTCAGCACCACATAAGCAGAAAAAGACAGAAGCTGTGCTGTGACTCAAGTGGTAGGGCACTAGCCTTGAGCTGAAGAGCTGAGGAATAGCGTCCAGGCCCAGAATTCAGGCCCTACAACCGACCAGAAAAAAAAAAAAATCTGAAATGTGTCAAAGTGAATAAATCATCTAGAGGTGAATAAATTGGAAAAACAAATCTGAGAAAGATGAAAATCAGGACTGGTTTTAGTTGGAAGGCCATTAAGAGAAGTGTCTGAATTAACATATCTGAAAAGTAGAGCACTTTGTTGTTCTCTCCTTGAAGTTCTGTGACTCAGTGATATCTAAAACTTTTATCTTTGTTAGGAATTTTAAAGACAGACTGGTCAGAGCAGCCCATGCCTACTCAATGCTCAGATGTACCACTTTGCACCTTGCTTCCTTCATTTTTTTTAATTGACCAGAGGACTTAGTTACTGGCTTGAGACTTACTGGACAGATTACCGTAATATAATAGCTTTGTTACTTCTTTAGGAGGCCATTCAGAATCATTAATTTGTGAGAATTGTCGAGCTCTTTTGCAAAAGGACCTCTGCAGAAAGGCATATTTTTCTGTTTTGTAATTTACATTGATTACTGAGTTTTTTCTCAGTGCCCAATTGGATGTTGACCTTAATCTATACAGCCTTTCATTGTTTTGTTCTGATTAGGTAAGTCTGGTACTGGTTTCCAGTTTTAATAATGACTAACATTGATCTCTGTGACAAAAATTTTTTTTAAACTTTGGAAACTGAAATGTTAAGAGGAAATTATTCTTCCGATAACATAAATACTCTGTAAATCTATTATTTTAAAGGTAGGCTCAGGGTGTTCAGTTTTGAAGTTGGAAAAAACAAGAAAGTTGGCAAGTAGATAGTAATTCCAATACCTTTTACTCCTCAATCTCATTCAGGATGCCTGCAGAATATTTCACTTTGTTAATGACCTGTCTTTCAAGCAATTTCTACCCAATACTGGTGACAGTAACATGGTGACAGAGTTAATGATTTGTTCATGAGGCAGTTATGAAGAGGAGCAGTATTCATATCAAAGACAACTGGTCTCACTTCCAGGTCCATCTTTGGGCCAAGATATGTAGTAGCCAACAGTGAGTTGGCGACTGTATTTTTTTGAGTCCTGGCGCAAAGTAGGATCCATCTGTTTTGCTCAGCCGTTTGCTTGAGTGCCACAGAATAGTCCTGTTATTACTCTTATTTGTGGTTCTATGAGAGGTTAAGTCTAATAGAAATAAAACTCAGTCTTCCTTGTCATAAATATAGTGTAAGAATTAAAAGTGGTGGTATTGGTGCTAAGTGATGTTGCATCTCTGTTTTCTCAACTGATCTGTTTTTGCCAGATTGAGAAACAGATATTTAAGAATGAGTTTGTCATCTGGAATGATAGTTGTGACCAAGTTTTCCTCAACAGGATACAAGATGTTATTTTTGAGCTTCATTACCTTCACCAGAGGAAAGAGAGAATGAAATTGAGAGCAAGAGTGAGAGCAAGAGAGAGAGACAGGGAGATACCGAGTCATAAAAAGACAGAAGGAGAACTAAAGAAGAAAGTGAAAGTAGATAAGAAATGGACAGAAATGACAGAAAGGAAAGGTCAAAGAAGGCAAGAAAGAATGCCAGGGGACGGGGGAATACAACTTAGACTGACTATTCAGAACTGAATTTATTCTTTTGAACTGATAGTTCAATTCATTCAACATCTGGTGAAATGAGAAGAAAGAAATCTTACTGGTCAATTCAAAATTCAGCCTAGTTTCTATCCCTTTTCTTGCCAGAGCCAGACAATGAATCAGTTTCACTAGCCATGTTTTATTGGTAAGTAGAACAATACCAGTTGGTGATTCAGATTATCTAGAAGTGAGCAACTTTTATATTTCTGAATCATTTATCAAGGATTATTGTTATGCCATATAAATTCTGAGCACAGTTATTTTTGTCAGTTTCTTTAATGAATATTTTGTTGCCTTATAAGGATATGTGTGCTCTCCCTTTCTTTTATTCAGTTTTCCCTGGTGACGCCTCCATAATTTCTGTCTTTACTCTGGTGCATTTTTAGTCTATTTCAGGCATTTGAGGAGTAGGGTAAAAGTTTAGTTAATCAGTGATTTTTTTTTAAAGATCCCATTCATGAAGTGGATTTAGTGTAAACCTGAGCAAGTTTGCATTTAAAATCTATGAACACCAAATAGACATATTACCAAAATTATTCATCGACATATTTCAAAGGAGAAGAAAATGGGACTGAAAAGTGAGAAGTAGCTGCATTTTCTACTGATAGAGGCAATTTTGTGGGTAATTTATGATGATGCTCTCATGTGGAAATATTAAGATATTACTTTGCATTATGTGAGGTTGGACATAAACATACACTTAGTGCTACAAATATATATATATATACATATATATATATTTAAACCTATTCTATGTAAAATCTGAATGATAATTGTAGTAACTCCATTTGCATTTGAAATATATTTTTCTAAAATACTAATATATCCATTATATTAAGTTAAAAAGAGGCCTAACTTATGTGTGTGCTTTTTACTATTAAAGTATTAAGATGTTGTTTGAAGAAGGAAAGGATGTATGAGATTTTTAACCCAAATATGCATGATATTCTTGGAGATCATAATATCTGGACTCTTAAAGTTTAAGAATAAAGATGTATTTTCTTTTTAAGCACAAGGCTAACCCAGAAGCTAACCCAGAATGTCTCATTCAAAACCTGGTGATCTTCCTGGGCTCCTTCACATACTAGTGGCTGCAAGTGAAAAATGTACCACATGAAATGGGGCACTGTAAACCCAGAAGACTGCAATGCCCATTTTGTATTGCTCAATATTCATTTACCTCTATTTCACCATCTGCCTACCACTGATTCAATCATATGAAGCAGATCTATCCTTTTTTCCCTCCAATTCTACTTGAAGTCATATTTTTTTTCTTTAACGTGCATTCACATTTTTTCATCTTTTTTTTTTTGCTTTGAGCTTAACATTGCATTTAATCTCTAGGCTGTGAACTTGTTGTTTAGAAGTATATTTTTTAAAAAATCTGATAGCTAGAAAAACTCAGAAACACTAATTTTCTAGGCATTATCATTACGAATCCCTTAATAGGGAGGCATATTTTGTTTTTTAGAATTGCTTCCCTCCCTCCTCTTTAGATCCTTTCCTTTTCATTTAAAAAAACTACTCTGGGAAGAGGATTTTTTTCCCCTTACCAAGAAAAAAAAAGCTACGCTTGACTGATAATGCATTGCTTTGGATGGTGAAACATTATGAAAGTTTAATTTTTAATTAAATCTGAAATACCAATTATAACTGAAAGAGATTTTAACCTGTTTCTTTTCAGACTGCCTGAAGTTACATTTAGAGACTGAAATCACTGCACCTTACAAACAAAAGATTGAGCTTCACTGTATTCCTCCTGTAAGTAGAAGCTTCCTGTACCTTCCCTTGTGTTTCTGTGACCAACCCAGAAAGGGACAAAACATTGGTAACATAGTAACCAGATATGCGTAAAAATTTAAATGTCCCTGAAGAAATACATCTTTAAATGCTTTCTTTCTTTAAAAAAAAAGTTGTTGGGTTCACTATTCAGTATGTCTTTTTTATCCAAACAAAATTGTGGAGTCTTTCTTTTAGCTGGTTTGAATTTCGTTAGGGAGGGTGTCACCCACTCTGCATCACCCTATTTGGAAAGAATCTCGAGTTTTTGTTCCAGATTCATGAAAGGTAACAGAAGATTTCTTACGGAACCAAATTGAATTCCATTTTCCTTTGTGATGTCATTAGCAATTCTTAGCCTTTGTGTCAATGAAAGTGGAAAGTTCATGATGACATCACGAGATTCTGTTGCCTTGAGGACTTCAGGCAAAACTAAAATGCATAATTCCCTTGTGTGCGTGTGTTCCCCATTCTGCTAGGAAGCAGTCAAAATAGTACATCTTATGTCTTCCCGTGAGCTACAAGGCTGTCTCTCAGAGCCCCATTGTTCCATAAATGCATGTCAGAGTCTATCACAGTCTGGTCTACCCTTATTTAGCTGCTGTTTTGTCAATGTACTTGGAAGAACAATTAACATTTGGGATTTCAATGTCTGAATAACAGGCAGTGAATAGAACCAGAGCATATAAAAGATTCAGACTCCCAGAGTAAGAAAACAGAATCTTATAGTTGGTAGAGGAAAAAGGAAAATCATGTTAATGCTGCACTCAAAGGTTGTGAGATGGTACAAGGAAAGTCAGTCATTAAAAAAAAAGATCAAAATGGATATTTTGGTAATATATCCAGAAACTTATTATGTATTCCCATGTTTTATAAATTAAAGTCTTTGTTAGAGAGTCTTAAAACATTTAACTCTATTGTGGTAATGCCAGATGTGGTGAATACTATATCATGATTTTCAGAGTGCCACAGTCCTTGTCCAACGGAATAGTGAAGGTGATTGAGACAATTCTGCCCATCTTTACTTTGTTTCACTGCACTTTTTCATAATTCACTGTTGTCTGTAGACAGTCTTAGAGTTATTAAGAATCACCTCCTTGTTAGGTATTTGGTGAATCAGGGAAAGCCAGTCACATTTCCTGGCTGGTACAAGTGAATAAATGAGGGTTATTGGTTTTTTTTTCATAACTACAACAGTTAATCTCACAGACAGAAAGAGTTGTTAGACTAAGGACTAAGTAATTTTTACAATCCCTAATACTTAGCAAAATAATTGGAAATCACAAAATAGCTGGTATTACTAGTTCAATTGCAAAATGTATAAAAAGCCAGAAAATGTAAATTCATTCTATCCTAGAATAGTTTTGGTCAAGAGGGGTTGAATAAAAATCTGGACACTTGGAAAGACAATTATGGCAGAGTTGGTGTCAGTCTCTAAGTCTTTACCTAATTTACTTTATTCTTCTTATCCCTGACTGAAATGAAAGTGTCTATGTGTAGCTCATCATATTTGTATATCAAATGGGCTTCAGTAGTCTTTTAAGTTGTGTCTTATATCTCATTCACTAGAATTGATCCAAAACTAAATCTACCTAACACCATGGTGGACAGATATTTGCTACCTTAATTTGTTAATTTGTTTGTACAGTAAGATGTGCTTCAAGGAAATGGAACTAGTAGTGTCATAAAGGTTGGATCAAGAGGCCAAGGACTTGAGAAGTTAACTATGAGCAAAATCAACTTTCATTGCACAGAAAGTTTCTTAACACTAATAAGAGCACAATATTTTTTACAACTCAGAATTATTTGATGTAAAGTTTTCTTTCCCTATTTCCCATCACTAGTTTTTAGAATTTATGTCCAAAAGGGATCCTTTCATTTTTATTAAATCAGCTTCTGCTGATGCAAATTAAGGCTTTCATAAAACTTAGCCTCTGAGGCAAATCCAAAATGATAAGAAATTAGGCCTAGTGAATTGTACTGTTATCATGTTGAATAATATTGAAGGACATCAAATAACCTTTCACATTTTCTGTAAGATGGAAATGTTGAGGTAAAAAGAATTTAAGAACACACCATCATTAAACATTACTGCTGAAAGAATATAAAAAATGAAAATTTTATCCTCTCATTTTGAAATAAATTTGAATACAGGGTAGGTCATGCAGGTAGCATAACCATACTGACCACCAATACAGATCATCCTTAGATATGTAGAGCGGTGAGTAGACCCAACGGCAGACACTGAGGCCCAAATCTTCCTTCTATTCTAGGGGTATATTAACAGGTTTTCCCAAGAAGTAATTTGCCTTTGTTGAACTTCACAAAGTAGTCAAAAATGCATACATAAAAGATAGTGTAATAACTCTGAATATTATCAAGCACATATTTTTTCCATTAGCCCTGTATATTTTCATACCATGCCTTTCATTACACAGTGAGTTGGTTTTACAATTTGATTGGCTTAATAATTTTATGATGGTTTATAAAGTACACAGAAGATATTAGAAAATACAATAGTTTAATTGGGCTTACTACAGGTATAATGAAGCCAGTAATCTGAACAGAACCATTGTGACAAAAGAATTCAAACTTCCTAAGAATATGAAACATGTGTAGTGTCAGAATGTCACTGTTGCCAGGAGTCATTTCCATCAGAGAAAAGTTTTTCAGAGTCTGAAAAAAATGAAGTAAACTTTAATAATTTAAAATGAATTACTTGAGCTGGTAATTTATTTCATGTTGCCTTTATTGGATTCTGTCATTTAGTAATCTAAAGAGACCAGAGCAAAGTTCTTGACATATCTTAATTTCTTTCTTAAATTTATTTTATCACCTCCAGACCTTCCCCCGCCACATTATGAAGAAGCTCAAATCACTGTGTTCAAAAAGTTAACAGCCTTTGTGTTATGCGCCAGACACAAAGCAAATGGAAGAGAACTAGAATGTATAGGCACATCAATTTTCCAAAAGTGTAGGTTGCAACTCATTAGTAGTCCACGAAGTCAGGTTATATGTCAGTGAAGCAGAATGAAATGAAAATAAATATCAAAAGAGAATACTGTACTGCATCATTCTAGATACTAGATTTGAACTGTATTTTACTTGGAATTATTACCTTGAACTTGGAAGATGCCTTAAAGGTGATAGATTATTAATACTTAAGTTATATAATTCTAATTAATTATTTTCATATCTGAGGAAGTAGAACATTGAACATTTTTCCCAGATTATGTAGAGACAGAATATGACAATGTCTATCCACATTTATTTCCTTCCCATTCCTTAACATCTCTTCCCAAAATTATGAGACTTCAACATTTCACTGTTAAACTCAAAAATTTTATCTCTATTTCTGATATTTCACCAAACTCCAATCCTATATCCCAAAATGTATACTTAAGTCTTCACATACTAATTACTCTTGTTTCTCACTCAGTTTATCAAAACTGTTTTTACTCTCTTAGTTAAAAGTCATTTTCCTATGGGGAGTCTTAATTTTCCTCATCCTCATTGTCAAGAGCATGTTGACTCAAATTATCTTTCTTGCCTTGATTGGATTGATGTTCAGTAAATGGACAGTTATTGTTAATTTTCTTTCTTTGACTCCTCTATTCTGATCAGGAATTCGTCTTACCTATAAAAGTCTACCAGTTGAGATACCTATTTCCTAAGTACCATTCCCTATTGACTTTCCTGAAGTAGACACACACACTAAGATCATGTTACTTGTGTTCAAATAAAAGTTTCAATAATTCTATAATGACTACAAAATAATTCTGGCCCATCATGACATTTCAGACTAACTAGATCTAACTTAGTCATCATTTACCCAGTGTTATATAGTACATTCAGGCCAAATTCCCATACCTACCTTTCCTATAGTTTTCACCATCTGAAATGTCCATCATTCTGCTTTTGCATATTAAAATACAACCCATCCTATCAAGTGTGATTCAGATGCTCTGAATCCCATGTATCTTGCCCTCCTTGAACTAAAATAAATAACATACATATACTTTATCATACCATTAAATTCAGTTGATGTATGGACTGCCCTACTGACCATCAAGTCCAAACTTGATTGTGAATTTCTGTTTTTATAAGTCAATTGCTTTATAATAATTTGTCTCAGAAATCCTAAGAAACTCATGCATCATATACTTTTTTGAAACATGAGTTACTGCTTATATTTTATTGCACTATTTGAGCACATGCCTTATCTTTTTATAAGAAAATAAACTTTTAGGGGCAAAATTCATATTTAATTACTATTTCCGTACCTTATAGAATCATTACTTCATTTCTCAATTCTTAATACTGATTAGTGTCTTAGGCTGTCATGAAATTTATAAGCTTCAAAATCAGATGTTAAACAGATATGCAAAAATTAAAATTATTGATTATGTCTTATTAAAATAGTTACATATGCAAGACAACAATGGGTAGGGAAAATCTGTTATAATTTTATTTTGATGCTCATTACAGAATTCTCAGAGTGGGTCATTTGAGTTGAAAGTTAAAGAGTAGGAAATATTTTAGATTAAGAATTGGAGTATGAAGGTTGAAATAACACCATAGACTGCCCTATTTTCGAATAGGAACCCTTGAATACAAACATTGTGTATTCAGAATAAAAGGATACCAGAGTGAGTAGAGCAAAGGAACACAGAAGTCAGAAGTTCCAAGGTGAAGAATTTGGAAAGTACATAGGACAAAAACACACAATGTTAATTGAACAACAGCTCAAGAATACAAGCTCAGAATAAGTCAGAAGTAAGTAGCATGTACATTCTTCTAGAGTATACATGTTTATTTTGAATATCTGTTAACTTCTGAGTTTGAGATTTTTGGACTTCTAAAATTAAGGACTAATGGATCACAATAAATGGGTCTAATAAACAGAGTAGATCTTTGACAACTTTTTAAGATAAAGTCAATTTTATTTCATCTCTAGTTAAAAGT